TTAAACACTTTGAAACAATAAAGTAAAAGGGGGATTTTGTTTTTAATGAATTTGAAAACAAAACAACTTTGTAAAACAAAACAGATTGTAAGTGAATTTGAATGAAACTTATGGATGGAAGATTAGCTAGGAGGTTCTTCTCCACATATGTCACACTTGCATACAAAACGATTTCCAGTTGCTTTTCGATAAGCTATGAATACTCAACGCCCCAAATTAACCGTGAATTGCACTAATTAACCCTCAGTTTTTTCCACAAGTTATTAGGTTGGATGATGATTGCATACGACAACCCAAAACATTCCCTACAAGTTCCCTACATGAATTGCATAATAGAGATACAAGCAAGAATCATTAAGTTCTATGAAAAACATAAAGCATTGACGAGGCACTCGTTACTATGATTTGCATGAAACTTATGCCAAGAGTTTACTTAACGTGATTGTGACTAGCAACCTTCACTACTTGTGAATATAAGTTTATAACGATTAGGTGAAACTCCCTTATATTCTAGCGTCAAATTCATGCATGAAAATTAAGCGTGCACTCTTAACCAACATACACAAATTAGTTTTTATATGAACGGATAAGTAAATTGAATTCACAACTTATGAATCACAACTGGATGTAATCAAATCATATTGCAAGTATGAACATAGTTTCGAATCACCCCCTAACTAAGAGGGGTTTAGTTCCTCATACTCACAAAGCAAAGATACATAAAATTAGACATTAAAATCAAAGGAAAGAAAACACCTAAAATGCTCCAACTTGGTAGCAAGTGCATCCAAGATTCCTCCTTTCCCTTGCTTGCGGCAGATTAGGTTATGGACAGATTTTGGGTAGTTTTATGATGTAGAATGGGATGGGGAATGGTATGGAAGGGTTTAGGGTGAGTGTGGAGGAGTGTTTGATGGTTGGAGGGTGGTGGAGAACTAGGCAAAGAGGGTGGAAGAAGGTGGAGTGGCTGTTATGTTTTCTAGGCACTAGAATGGTGTTTTTGGGGTGTTTTGCTTCCTAGGGTGTGTATGGGACGAATTTTTGTGATAAAATGATGAATATGGGGGATTGTCCTTTGGCCAAGGGGTGTAAACATGTATTTATAGGCCCCAAAAACCTTAGAAAATCAGGTTAGGTTAAGGATGAAATGCATGGCAATTTGTGTGTGTGGTGTGCAATGGTCCAAGGGTGAAAATGAAGTAATTATGCAAAGTGTGAAGGGTAAAATGGAGTGGTGTTGTAGCTAGGGAGCATGAATGATTGTGTACATTGCATAGAGATGGAAAAGGAGGTGAAATGTGTCAACAAATGGGTCAAAGGTGCAACAACATGTGTTGCACATGGCATTGGATTCCAAATGTGAATGATGGAGCATCAATTGGTGCATGTAATGGATGTAAATGTTGTCTAAAATCTAATGAGTGAAGGGAACAAGAGGTATCAAGCAATTAAGTGTAATAATTAAATGAATTGAAGCATGAAATTAGAAATTATGTAGGGGACAAGAGTGATCAAGCATGGCATGGAATCCAAAGGGAATTCTATGTGGTTTGCATGGCAAGGAATGCAAGTTGGGGTGACAGATTTTTGGGCTGTTTTCTTCATCTTTTGGACCATAATTCTTCATATTCTTGGCCTCTTTAGTTCTCAAATTCCATCCACTTTTGGCCCATGCATTTGCTATCCATTCCAAGCCCCATTTTGCTCCAAAATGCTCCAAAATGCATCTTCTTGCCTACTTTGTCCATAAAATCTGAAAACACACGAAAATGACTTTAAACATTAAAATAACTAAGGAAACACGACATAAATGCACAAGAACAAGCCAACTAAGTCGCATAAATATGCTCCTATCAGGGACGTGTATTAATTAACTATGTTGTTGTACTTAATAAACGCTAGAAAAACAGAAAAAATGAGGTTCGAAAGTCACTTTTACAAAAATTATGCACTTGCACATTGGGGTGGGCATAAAAACCGCCAAACCACATCGAACCGTATGAAAAAAAATCGAAAAGAACCGAAAAAGTCAACTTTGAGTCAACAACCAAACCGGACGGTTCAAACCGGTTTCAATTCCTATTTCAAATGACCAAGAACCGGCCGTAACCGAACTGAACTGTTTTATTAATAATAAATAAAATAATTATACACACACACACACACACACACATGACATGGTATAATAGGTTGAAAAATTAGTTTCACCAAGTTAGTTATGCTGGAGTTCCCCTTGAACAACAAACTTCAGGGAATAACCTATTAAATGAGGAGTTTGGAAGTTCTCTGCCATTCCAAATAAATGGGCAGGTATTTAATAGCTTATGTGGTTTTTTTAATGGGTAATTTTATTTAAACCCATGCAATCTCTTTTTACACCCAACTTAAAATTTTGAATGTTAATTGTCTATTTTACCTTATTGCATAATTACTATTAAGTACAAAATGAAATTAATAATAAAACTTAAATTTATCTATAAACCCAAACATTATAATTAAACCCTACTGGCTAAAACCCTAGAAAACCGAAGAAGGTGAAGCCAGTGTTTCTTCTCTTCCCCAGTGCTTGCACGTTTTGTGCCAGAGAAAAGACTTTTTTTCGCTATTGCTTTGGCTAACAGACTTCAAAATGTTGAACTTGCAGAGTCGGCAGGTGGCATTGATCTGTAACCATTTGTCTATTGATGAACCAATATTTATACTATATATTTTCCCCTTTTTATATTTCTTTTCTTGTCTAGTTTAGTTGGAAGTTTTGAGTATTTATGAGTTTTGCCATTTTGTGTTTCTAGGAGCAGCAAGATTGAGTTTGGTGGAAAAGTATGCAAACTTTGGAATTTTTTAGTGATTCCAATTGGAGATGATTCACAAGAGATCGAAGATGATCATATCAAATTTTCAGCTCAAAATTCCCAGCCAATTGTTCCCAGCTTAAGAATGAAGACAGGTCAGCGTGCTGACAAGGCAGTTTAGACCTCTAAAGGTTGCACAAGAGATAAGTACATAATTAAAGCATAAATTGAGGAAACTTCCTTCTTAGCTTTTTAAGCTGACCTTTCAAGCTTTCTAAGGACATCTCATTCATTGAAATCTAAGGACTTTTGGTCTACTAAACGTTATGGCCAAATTTGCCCACTCCATTTGGCTAATAAAAATAAAAAAGTAAAGGCACTCGTTTTGTGCTTTACTTTGTCATCATCACTCGGCAGACAATGGGGTTTTCAATCCCACTCATTTGGCCTTTGTAGCATTAGAAAAATAGAAGCTTTTGGAGGAGGAAAGTGGAACACACGGCTGTTTATTCCTTTGTCTAATAAAATAAGGTAAAGAAGGGGGACAACAATGATGGCCTTCCACTTGTGGCCTAGGTGCTTTGAAAAATCATTGCCTTTTGTTTAAGGAAACACACGGCAAAGAGTAAAAGGAGGGAGGCCAGAGAAGAAGAGGAGAACGGATAGAGTTGCAGTGAGCAACATAGCAGAAAGTAGAAGGGATGTCGCAGCTCCAAGAGAATCGGAGAGCTCAGGAGATAGCTTCCTTGTAAAAAAAAGGATTGTCTCTTTCTTTGATTCTTCATGGATAATTTCTTATGTATTCAAATAATTATGTATAACTAATTTCCTTTTGCTAGAGTGAGGCCATGAGCCGCAACATGATTACGTAGATTTCTCTTTCAATTGCTTAAGTGTTGTTACATGCTTGCTTTGATATTTTCAATCTCTAAATTAAACTATATATGTGTCTTGATGATTGATCACCATTAGGATGCTTAGAAAAGTCATTGGATGCAATTTTGAACGAATGTCACATTAAAATTGGTTATGCTTCTTGTGATTGAGGATTGTAATTTCTCCTAAGGTAAATATCATACTCTTAAGGATTACCTGGTTTAACAAAAGGATTTTCATCAAGATTAATGAATCATTTCATCAAGATTAATGAATCATTCATGTTTATATTTAATCCAAATGTCATGGATAAATTGCATGTAGTGGTATGCGTTTTAACTTGAATGTCACAAGTAAAACATACACAAGGAAAACCCAACCTTCGAAGCATATGTGTTTTCGATTACTTAAGCAATTGGAAGAGCTTCGTAGGAGTGTTGTTGATAAAGGTTGAACTCTAGCATATTGTCAATCTATTTTTCTTCAATCATTTATTTTATCTTGAATTTCCTCATTTACCTGTTTTATTTAGTTGAATCATTATTTCTATAAGCCATTTCCCTTTTTAGATGTTTGTTTAAGTCACATACAGTAGTATTTAGTTTCGTTGAATTAATGTAGTTCTTAGAGTTAACTAAGTTAAATATACAAAAGCTCATAAATTGTTTATACCAGTCCCTGAGGAGATCGACCTTGCTTGAGCCATTCTATACTACAACACTTGTTCTCTTGCAAAAAAATTCTATGGTTTAACCCTTTGTTTTACAAGTGGTAAAAATCACCATCAAGAAATTGGCGCCGTTGCCGAGGACTGTGCCAACAGTTCCCGAGCTTTTGTGTTTATTTTTCTTATGCTTATGTTTATGTCTTATTTTTATTAATCATTAAAAAAAAACCAGCAATTAATTTAGTTGAGTTTCGATCTTTGATTAAGTGCAGTGGATGTGGTGTGAGCTTTTTGTCTTTGTTTAACCAACTAGTGGTTGCCAATTTGCATAAACTATGTTTTTGATTCATCTAGGTTTACTTACTTTCTTTTCCTTTTTGTTGTTTAGTTAGTTTCTGTTAAGTTTTATTTTATTTTACTTTTATTTTTATTGTGGCTTAATATTTCTGTTGTTTGTTCATGTGTAGTATATGGTGGTTGGAACAAGGTCCAAGAATCAAGTGCTTACTCCTTACGACCCTGAACCAAAGAGAAGTGCAAGGAAGTTAGCTAGAGAAAAATATTTAGCACAAGATTCCAACCTTGGTGATACTTTTCTTAAGGATTTGTTCCGTGATCTTGAGAGCAGCACATCTATTTTCTAACCTTTGGCACCAGTTGCACACATGGCCCTAACCTTACCTGCAGCAGGTCAACCTTTAAGGAATTCATTGGCAGCAAGATTCAATGCAGTGCCAAGGTGCATTATATATCCAGATGTGGAAGATGGGACAACCTTTGAAATCAAACCTCACATCTTCAACATATTGCCATCCTTTCATGGGTTGCCAAACAGTGATCCTAACATGCATTTGGCTGATTTTATTGAGGCATGTGACAACACCATAATTAGAGGTTTCTCTTCTGAAGCTATCAAGTTAAGCTTGTTCCCGTTCTCTTTGAAGGATAAAGCCAAGGGGTGGCTGCATTCTCTGCCTGCCAATAGCATTACAACATGGACAGAATTGCAAGAAAAATTTCTTAATAAGTTTTTTCCTTCTTCCAAGACTCTTGCACTCAAGAAAGAGATATGGGCTTTTGCTCAAAAGCCAAACGAGTCTTTCCATGAAGCTTGGGAATGGTATAATGAGATGTACACAAAATGTCCTCATGCTGAGTTTGATTCTAACCTTCAAATGAACATATTTTATGATGGTCTTAATGCCACCGCCAAGAGTCAAGTGAATGCATCTGCTGGAGGGTCACTAATGTCAAAATCAGCAAGGGAAGCATTTGAGTTATTTGATATGATGGCTTCTGAATCCCAACAATGGACAGAAGAACAAACACAAAAGAGGGGAGTTTTTGAGATTTCTCAGAGTTCTCCTAATGTTTCTGCTCAAATTGCTAAAATGGAGAAGAATTTTAATGCCAAGTTTGCTGCCTTAATGCAGGTCTCTTCCATGCCCAATGCCCAAAAAGTTTGCATCATTTGTAGTGAGACAACTCATGACATCACTCAATGCCCCAACAAGGATAGCTACCCTGAGCTTGTACAAGAGCATGTGAATATGGTGAATAATTTCATTAGACCTAGAAGTGACCCTTATTCCAATACATATAATCCTGAGTGGAAGAACCATCCCAATCTTAGTTGGGGTGGCAACCAACAGCCACGTCAATACCAACAGTCTTACCAATCAACTTGTGAGACTAAGAAACCATCTCTTGAAGACCAAATGTCACAGCTAGCTCAACATATGTTTGCTATCTCTAATAGCACCAACAATTTTGTCCAATCCACGCAAACTAGCATTCAGAATCTCACGACATCAGTGGGGAATTTGGAGACTCAAGTTGGACAGCTTGCTACCATGTTCAATGAAAGAGAGAAAGGAAAGTTCCCGAGCCAATCTGAGCAAAATCCAAGAGGGATGGAGCATTGTAAAGTAATACGGACATTGAGAAGTGGCAAAAGCTATGACAACAGAGAAGTGGTGCACCATGAAGCCGAAGTGGAAGAAGAAGAGCTTACTGAAAGTGCACCATTAGCTGCAAAGTCTCGGTCAAAGGCTATTTGTGCAGCAGGTATTCCAGATCCTAGTGCAAGTGACAAAGTGCAATCTCGACCCAACTTTGATGCAAACAAGGAAAAAGGCCTCGGTAGTTTATTTGCACCTTCTGACAAGCCACTATACAAGCCACCTTTGCCATTTCCACAACGACAGCAACAACGTTCCAAGGATGAACAATGCATTGAATTCATGAAGACGTTGGCTAAGGTTCAAATTAATTTGCCTCTATTATATGCTATTAAATAGATCCCATCATATGCCAAATTTCTGAAGAAGCTATGTTCTAAAAAGAAAAAGTTCTTGGAATACGAGAAGGTGATTTTAACTGAGCAATGCATTGTTGTCCTCTTACATAAGCTGCCACCCAAGAAGAAAGATCCGGGGAGTTTCACTATCTCTTGTACTATCGGTAGTCTTGATTTTGGGTAAATTACATAGTAACCCCTCATGTTTGAGGTCTATTACAACTCCATACAACATCTTTAAAACATTTCACTTTCATACCTCAAGTACTATTTTATTTCAAAATAATACAACCGTTACATTTTCCATCCATTGATCCGTTAAACGCTGACGTGACTGCCACATTTATGCCACGTGGCTGCCAAATGTGTGCCACGTGGCAAAAAAAATAATTTTTTATTATTTTTTTAAAACCTAAATCTTCTATTAAAAAAAAACCAAAACAAATGCAGAAACCTTCAACCCAGCAAACTCACTTCCTTTCCCTACCCCCACGCCCCCGCCCCGCCCCCCCCCCCCGCACCCCCGCACCCGCATCCCAACACCTCCCTTCCCCACCTTCCCAGACCGTCCCCCCGAGCTCTTCCCAACACCTCCCCCCACCCAGAAACCTTGTCCCCCCTCTCGCGGCATACCCATACCCTCCCCGCACGACCTGCCCGCAGAGCCACCTCCGACAAGCTCCCGCAGAGCCGTCAATTTTCTTCCCATTAAAACGGCCAATTTAACCAGCGCCACTAAAACTTCTCCTTTGTTTCATTCATACCCCTGAAACAATTCAAATTCCTCACCGAGGCAATCACTTCACTTTTACGGATTTTGGATTTAGGGTTTTGATTTGATTGGTTTCTGCTATCTAGTTAGGCTTTTTTGGGTTTTAGGAACTCAATCAAATTAGAGTTATTTTTCTTCTAATTCTTGTTCAAAGAATCAATCATAGAAGAGGAGGCAATGGCGACAAAGTCATCGAAGGGAGAAGAGGATGCGAAGTTGACGGGAGGGAACCAGCTGCTGGTAGTCGACGACGATCTCAGAGAAATGGGCAAGAAGGCTGCTTGGAGCGTCAACTCCTGCAAGGCCGGCAATGGCGTCCCGTCTTTCCGTGACGACAATCTCGACACCTACTGGCAGTCTCTACTCCAATTCCCCTTTCCCTGCTTTAATCCCTCAAAATATTGAAATCTTTGAATTTTAATTTTGTTTGTTTGTTCTTGGTTTGCAGATCCGATGATGCGCAGCCTCATTTGGTGAACATTCAATTCCAGAGGAAAGGTTTCAAGGTATGGTGGTTACAGGTAGGGGAGTCGGGGGATGAAGATGAAGATGGGGGAGAAGAGACGGGAGGAGGAAGGGGAAGACGAACTGAGTTGGGGGGTGGTCGTATGGGGTATGGGTTTCGCGGGGGTATGGGATCTGGGTTGTTCTCTGGTTTTTTTTTTTTTCCTTCAAAGGTGCAGGTATGGGGTGGGGGAAGATGGGAGCGAGGAAGAAGAAGGCTGAGGGGGGTTCACGGGGGTGGGGTTTTGTTCAGCTTTTGGGTTTTTATTTTTTATTTTTTATTTTTTTTTAAATTTAGAAGATTTAGGTTTTTTTTAAAAAATAAAAAATTATTATTTTTGCCATGTGGCACACATTTGGCAGCCACATCAGCACAAATGTGGCAGCCACGTCAGCATTTAACAGATTAATGGACGGAAAATCTAACGGATGTAATATTTTGAAATAAAATGGTACATGATGTATGAAAGTGAAATGTTTTAAAGACGTTGTATGAGATTGTAATAGACCTCAAACCTAAGGGGCTACTATGTAATTTACCCCTTGATTTTCATAAAGTATTGATTGATTTAGGAGCAAGTGTTAACCTTATGCCTTATTCTGTTTTTCAAAAATTAGGTGAAGGAGAACTCAAGCCCACATCTATGAGTCTTCAATTGGCAGATAGGTCCATGATCTATCCTTTGGGTATTCTGGAAGATGTGATTATTAAAGTGGATAAATTCTATCTCCCAGCTGATTTCATTGTACGTGACATGGAGGAGACAAGGAAGTGCCTCTCATTTTAGGCCGACTGTTCATGGCTACCGCCCAGACACTTATTGATGTGGAAGTAGGTACTTTAACCTTAAGAGTGCAAGGAGAGTTAGTTGTATTCAAACTCTTTGAAGCTATCAAGCATCCTCTCAAACTTGAAGAGTGTTTTCGTGTTGATGTTTTGGATGGGATTGTGCATGCAAACTTTGCCTCACGATCATCTAATGATGAGCTGTTAACTTGCCTCACCAACCATGATGCTACTTTATCTATGGAAGAAAATATGGTGGACGTCATTGCTGCTTTGGATAGTGCACCAATTCATAATCCAAAGTGGCGACATGTTTATGAAAGCCTTGGAGTGCCTAAGCAGCCCCTTCTTCCTTCAAGTGATCAAGCTCCAAAGTTAGAGCTTAAGCTACTGCCGAGCCACCTCAAGTATGCTCATCTAGGGGTGAATGAGACCTTACCTGTTATTATTGCTGTTGATCTTAATGACACAGAGGAAGACAAATTACTAAGAGTTCTTCGCAAGTATCAAGATGCTCTGGGGTGGACACTTGCTGACATAAAGGGCATTAGTCCAGCTTTGTGCATGCATAGAATTTTTATGGAAGCTGGGACTAAACCAATTGTTGAAGCTCAAAGACGGCTAAATCCGATCACGAATGAAGTTGTAAGAGTTGAGGTGATGATGTTGCTAGATGCAGGTATCATTTATCCAATCTCGGATAGCAAATGGGTGAGCCTGACTCAAGTGGTTCCAAAGAAAACTGGTATTACTGTGGTGAAGAATGATAACAACGAGCTTGTGCCTACAAGGATGACCACCGGATGGGAATTGTGTGTTGACTATAGAAAGCCCAATAACAGCACTAGAAATGATCATTTTCTGTTGCCATTCATTGATCAGATGCTCGAAAGACTAGCCGGTCATCCTTTCTATTGTTTCTTAGATGGTTATTCAGGGTACAACCAAATTCCCATTGCCCCTGAGGATCAAGATAAGACAACATTTACATGCCCCTTTAGTACATTTGCATACAGGCGAATGCCATTTGGATTGTGCAATGCCCTTGCCACTTTCCAACGATGCATGATGAGTATTTTTTCTAGAATGGTTGAAAATATTGTTGAGGTTTTTACGGATGATTTTTCTGTCTTAGGTGATTCTTTTGATATATGTTTGGATAACTTGTCTTTGGTTTTGGAAAGGTGCAGGGAGACTAATCTTGTGTTAAATTAGGAGAAATGTCATTTTATGGTTCAACATGGCATTGTGCTAGGACATCTAATTTCAAGCAAAGGAATAGAAGTTGACAAGGCCAAGATTGATGTGATAGCCAATCCAATCTGCCACCACCCACTTCTGTGAAGAGTGTGAGATCTTTCTTGGGACATGCAGGTTTCTATCGAAGATTCATCAAGGATTTTTCCAAAATTAGTCATCCTCTTTGTAATTTACTTGCTAAAGATGCTACTTTTGATTTTGATGCAGATTGTCATGATGCTTTCAACAAATTGAAGGATCTTCTCACATCAGCACCAATTATAACAGCTCCAGATTGGACCCTTCCTTTTGAGCTCATGTGCGATGCTTCCGATTACGTTGTGGGTGTTGTCATTGGTTAGCGACGTGACAAGCTCCCCCACGTTATATATTATGCCAGCCGCACTTTGAATGATGCTCAGCTGAATTATGCCACTACAGAAAAAGAATTACTTGCAGTGGTATTTGCTCTTGAAAAGTTTCGATTGTACTTAATTGGTGCTAAAGTCATTGTGTATTCTGATCATTCTGCTCTCAAGTACTTATTGTCTAAAAAAGAGGCCAAACCACGATTGATTCGATGAGTCATTCTCTTGCAAGAGTTTGATTTGGAGATCCTAGATAAAAATGGACGTGAGAATGTTGTGGCGAATCATCTCTCAAGATTAGTAAATGCAAGCACTGATGAGGTAGATTCATTGCCCCTGCAAGAGAGCTTTCTAGACGAGCAACTTCTAGCGGTTACTCATCAAGTACCATGGTATGCTAACATCACAAATTATTTGGCATCTGGAGAAATACCATCAGAGTTCAGTTACCAACAAAGGAAGAAGTTCCTCTCCACTGTAAAACACTACTTTTGGGATGAGCCATACCTTTTCAAGCATTGCCAAGATCAAATCATTCGTCGGTGTGTCCCCTTAGAAGAACAAGAAAGCATTTTGAAGTTTGCTCACCACTATGCATGTGGTGGTCATTTTGGACCAAGAAGGACAACGACCAAGATCTTACATAGTGGTTTCTTTTGGCCATCTTTATTCAAAGATGCATACATATGATGTCAGGCTTGTGATAAGTGTCAAAGAGTTGGAAATCTTTCTCATAGAAAAGAGATGCCCCAACAAAGTATTTTGGTGATTGAACTATTTGATGTTTGGGGTATAGACTTCATGGGACCTTTCCCTTCTTCACATGGCAATCTTTACATCTTGGTAGCAGTTGATTATGTCTCTAAGTGGGTGGAGACAATAGCTTCTCCAACATGCAAAAGTTTCGTGGTGTTAGGTTTCTTGCAAAATACTATTTTTCCCCGATTTGGAGTACCTCATGCTATCATCAGTGACGAAGGTACGCATTTCTTAAACCGCACCATGGCTGCCCTTTGTGCCAAGTATCATATTCACCATCGCATAGCCACCCCATACCATCCACAGACATCTGGACAAGTTGAAGTATCTAATCGTGAGCTCAAGAGGATTCTTGAGAAAACTGTCAGTTCATCTCGAAAGGATTGGAGTTTAAAGCTTACTGCTGCTTTGTGGGCTTATAGGACAACTTATAAGACACCAATTGGGATGTCTCATTTTCGTTTGGTGTATGGGAAAGCTTGCCATCTACCTATGGAACTTGAGCACAAGGCATATTGGGCTATTAAGCACCTCAATTTTGACTACCAAGCAGCGGGAAAGAAACGGAAGCT